TTCTTTAACCAGGGGCTTATTGCAGGTCAACAGCCTGTTGTATTTGATCTTTCTTCACTCTCGTAGTTGTGCATAATTTATGGCACAATGTCTCCATATTTTATTCTTTTTAAAATATACTTCTAATCACCGTTAGTTTTTCCTTTTTCTGTTTTTCCATATGCTTATGCAACTCCTAAATGTTCTCACCCACTTCTTACATTTCTCTTATCTCTTTCGTAGTCTTTAGAATCTCCTGTTTCAATATATGTGAATTGCTAGTAATTTTGAATTGGATTTGTGAATATTGTTTTCGATCATTCTTCACTTCACTGTCCTACTAATATTTAGGGGTTTTGGGTTTTTTTCTTCCCACATATATAAGTTATCTCACGTAATGATTACTTTTTAACTTATAATTGGGATCAAAGTCTGAAGTACCCGTTGTATCCCTTAGTATTCGCTCTTCTTTTGATTTGCAATCAACGACCGTTATTTTGAGTCCTCTGTTAGAGAGGGTTGTTAACATTTCATAGTTTCCATTCATTATTTTGAACTAGCAGTGAGGGCTAGACAGGGATATTTAGTTTGGCTATCCCTCTTTAACTTTGTGCTTGACGATAGTCTCAAGATAACTCCACAGAAGTTACCTGGCGATGCAGATCCTTCATCACTCGTAAGACATTTCGAACTTCTGTTTCTGGATGACATTGTTTCGCTACACAACAACATACAACTTTCTGGAGTTGCACTAATATCATTTGGCGGTCATTTTTCGTAAAAACGACATTTACTTTTGCACTGCCGAACTGCAGCCTACTTTTGAAGATTGATAGAAGCCTATGGGTGTCGTCACACTTGTTGGTGAACCATTTGGCGCATTTGAAACGTACATGTATGTGATTGCTCATGGAGGTGTAACCGATGAAATTTTCAACCGTATATCGAAGGTTAGTGCGGTATACATCAATCTGGCTTACCTTGGGTGTTGTTGCGATATGAGCTTGTCTGTTTAAGATTGGGTGTATAAAGTGACACTGCAGACAATTTTCACCGCTTCCGAACATCTGAAGCTAGAAATGTTCGAACACACTGTAAGTTCAAGTAGTGTCGTTTTCAAAGAGGTACTGCCATCCGGTGGAAATATCATGCAATCAGCTATGAGATCCAGTGATACGTTTCTTGAACTGATGCATATCTTTGTTCATTGTACCAAGTCATCTTGTAAAGATAGCTGCTGTGGATTGGATGTTTGTTATGCTTATTGGCTCCCCGTAGAGTTTATCGTTTAACAACACTAGAACTGGTTAGAAAATGTGGTATGCTACGGTACCATAGGACGAAGAATAGTTGTGTTTGCTTAGCACGTCGATACTTCACAACTCTTTGGATGGCGTCTAAGAGATCATGTTATTCAATAGCTTGAGACGTTTTTACACCTAAATTAAAGATTTTAAATATGGTTGGGAATCCAAACCGATGGTGAGTGTGTTGTAGTTTTCTCATCTTTTATGTGTACGAAGTAATGAAAATACGATATACGTGTGTTTTTTACGTATCTTATAGAACCAACTGTCTGTTCAGTGTTTTCTTACCTCTTTCAGTTTTAAACTTCTAATTTTGTTATCTAACGTTGTGTTACACATCTCTTGGTGAGCGTATTTTACTGGGTTTGTATTTGAAGCAACAGCAAAACATAAGAAGCACGCAATTAGAACTGCGACTTTCCAGCTAGGCATGTCATGTACGAACCTATTAGCCCAAATTATTTTGACAGAGTCAATTACCATAGCCTATTGGAGAGTTTGGACCTGTGATCCGTTTATTTGAAGCCATTTACCAAGACTGGATTGCGGTGTATCCACTGAGAACACTTTAATAATCATTGAGTCCAATATACTTATCGGATATCGATTTAATAATTCGGCATTCGAAGATGTGTTAGAAGTTCTACACTTCTTTAGATATATGGCTGTTTTGAGATAAAATTGATGTGAATAGCATAATTGAATAAGTTTCCCTTTATCACTTACTACTTGGGCTTGTTAAACTTTGTTTCCACTGTGAATTTCCTCAAGTATTATTCGTTGATGAACAGATAACTGTGCGCTAACAACCATATATTTCTGGTCAGTACGAACTTCAAACGTATAGGGAAGCACTGTCTGACATGAAAGATTATCATTCCTTATGGAGCTTATGGCTTGACCTAAATGGACGCAGAAAATCTATAGCTTCAGGACGACTCCCAGTACATCTCAGTAATGGGAGTGCTAAGGCTTCTCTAGACGAGGAGCTGACTAGATGGTTATCGGAACAGGATAACGTCACTCATCCAAGAGAAGCCTGACTCTATCTCCAGTTTGTTGCAAGTATGGTGTTAAAGACTGCCACTGACTCTCTGAAAGAGCCTAGAAAAAGGAGTCAGTGGGTCTCAGCAGCTGTCACTGATTGTGATTGGTGTAGATGAATACATTCCTGCATGCTCCTAGGATAATGAGGAGTGGAAGCAACTCGAACGTAGACTGACAAAGAATTTGCCCAATGACCGTGATCAGGGGCTGGTAGTGGAGGCCTAAGTGAAGGAATAGGTGGTGGGGATAGGTAACAGTAGACAGTTGCTCAAACTGATCATGGAGACTGAGGCAGAAAGGTCGATGGATAGTGAGATCAGTAGGATGACTGGAACGATGTGTGGAACACAGAACAATCCAAATGGGCTCGAGCTACCACAGTGTTGTCGGTTGTCCACTCAGATCATGAATGGAACACTGAGCTGGGCCTCCTAACACTTGCAGAAGTTGTAAAGCCTGTTAGTCACCTGAAGGGAGGAAACGTAGCAGGGTGGGATGGACTGGTAACAAATTTTTAAAATCATATTTGCCAGATTAACCGAGGTGTTACCTAATGTGCAGGAATCGGATATAATCCACTCTGGCTAGTCTCGATGACTGGTTGTCCTAGCCTTCAAGGTAAGAAGTCTTTGTGTGATTGCCGCAGACGAATGAGACTAACAAACTAAATTTTAAAATTCTAGGATCTTTATTCATAAGATGCCCATATGAAGATCATGAAGACCTAACCCGAGGAACCCAGACAATGATCATCGCTTCTAAGTGAAGTTGGTGAGGTGGTTCTACTCTTTAAAAATACTAGCTGTCAGCAGTATTTTTGTACACAAAAATCTCGTTCAAATTGCATTCTATCTGTTTTAAACTCTACTTTGATAATCTTTAAAGGATGGCTTTCAATGCAAGAGGACTTCGAATCCATAACTTTGTCTGCAGTCATACCTTAAATCGTTTAGGCTTACCATCCAGACTGTTCGCAATAGATAGTAGTGTCAACGTTTATACTACTGGAATGATTTTGACTGTAAACCAGTTTTTACTTACCACGTTACTGATCAGTATTCTCGAAATTATTCCTTCATTTACATAAACAAAGTTCGTACCACTAGATAATCTGTTGAATATTTCTTTTTGAAAGTAGCATTGATCACCAAATGATATCGGTTAAAGAACAACAGAGAGCCCAGGAGCACTATGCAGCTGTTTCGTCCCAGTATGGGACAAAAAAGGCGGGATTCAGGAAGTACAAATCATGTGCGGATCAAATTGCAACGCTACGCTACGCTACTCATCATCATAGAACAGAGTATAGCATAACAGTCAACTCTCTACCTTATCTCAACTTCATCGACTTTGGAGAGACCTTCGACAGCATCGACCGAGGAGTAATTTGACAGTTGCTTCAACACTACGGAGTGCCACAAACCTTTATCAAATCCATTCAACAGCTATATGAGGACGCCACATGCCAAGTAATTCACAACGGGAAGCACAGAGATGCCTTTGAAGTGGAGACAGGAGTAAAACAAGGCTGTCTACTATCACCCATGATCTTCCTTATTGCGATGGACTGGATCATGCAGCAAACAGTGAGGAGCGAGAAGAGGGAAATACGCTGGACCGGGGAAAAGATCCTAGGAGATTTGGATTTCGCCGATGATGATGATGATTTATATCTAATGTCGCACACACTCGAAGATCTACAGGCGAAAACTAACAAGTTGACAGAAGAGGCAGGGCAGAGAAAACGGGACTTCCTTCAGGTGAACGTAGAGAAGACAGAGGTGATGAAGACACCCAACCAACACTACCACCACCAACAACAAGCTCTAATCACCATCAACGGGAGAAATTTAAAGGAAGTAGCCTCTTTCACCTACCTAGGCAGCACTGTTTCAACTACAGGTGGCACAGGCGAGGACGTCAAAGCCAGCCAGGATCGGAAACACAGGAAGATGTGTGTTCATTAACCCGAAACCAGTGTGGAGATCTTCTGCACTCAGTATAAAGCGTGAAAAAGATCCGGATTTCCAACACTAACGTCAAGTCACTGCTTCTATATGGTTGAGAAACTTGGTGCGTTACGAAAGGCACTTCCAACAAATTGCAGACATTCATCAACAAGTGCCTACGCTCGTTAATGAAGCTCAGATGGCCAGAAAGAATAAGCAACAAGAAACTCTGACCGGGCAACGAACCAACCAAGAAGCTATCGCCCAACAAATATGCAGAGGAAAGTGGGGATGAATTGGGCATACACTGAGAAGACCGACTGGGGACATCATGCACCAGGCCAGGTCCTCAAGTGAAATCGAAAGGGGAAACGATGAGTTGGGCGTCTGAGGCGAGGGTGACATGGAGGAGATCATGTGAGGAAGAAATGAAAGCTTGTGGGCAGTGGTGGAGCTAGGTTGGAAAGACTGCAAAGAGCAGAGTGAAATGACGACGTGCTACTGGAGCCATATGTTCCACTAGGAACCCAAGGGTGGAATAAAGTTAATAAGAAATTTGAAGGCGTTTAAAGTCATTCCAATAGGTTGATTTTTCAGTGAATAATTTACTCACCTTATTGCGCAACGTAGGTAGCTACATTTGATAGAGAAATGGTAGCAGTTATTTCATCCTCGTAAGTTTTCATATTCACAGCATTTCACTTGTTTAGTTGTTGGAAAATGCATTGCAAAGACCTGAATTCCTCTAACCGACCAGAAAACAAAATGTTGTACAATATTCACGTAAAATTGATTTCTTTTGCCTGTTTAGAGTCTCATTCATAAGCTGGCGTCTGAATTTCGCCAATGACGTAATTTCAAGCTTAACTGCGGTGCCTGATGCGATTTTGCTTAGTTGAGATTCGTGTGTCTCATCACATTTGAGATTCAAATTATTGCAGTGCATCGAGACATCAAAGTCTCTGATGAATTCCGCTCAGCCGCCATGACAATCGATTACTCGTGGGTCTTTCTTCGTGTACCTCACTAATACCTATTTGAAAGACTATCTTCCTACAATAATATCGCAATCTCTTGAGAATTGAACTGTGAGCATTTTTCTCGTCACCGTCATTATCATAAAAACGGTGACATTTTGTGTTTCAGTGGCTCCTATGGAACATGGTAGAACGGACAAACACAAACTTATCGTTTGAAGCACTCACGACCTACTGAATTTTCCGGACTTTAGTTCTTACTACTTTTTTACCCGCTTTCTCAGTACAGTGTAAATAATGACAAGAAGCACTAAATAAATAGTTTTGAAGCTTTCATACTGTTTCCTGCCTAACTGACAGAAAAACACGGAAGGGAATTGCCATTGCCGAGATAAACAGGACTGTGCAGAGCCATATACAAAACACCGCCGAGAGGGAAGACGGAAATATAAAGTCATTTGAACACAAAAAAAGAATGATAGTGGATTGAAGTCTCAAAAAATTAACACATTGCAAGTGTTGGCGCCACCATGATTCCTTTTATGCCACATCGCACGCGTTCCCGACCCGCCGGTTTTTAGTACGCTGAGAATTGTGGTCAAGTGGTTAGCAATTTTTCACACAGTTCAAACTGAAAGTCGTTGAATTAATGCATCCGAGTTCCACACCCTTGTCTGTCTATTGCTTGCGTGTTTTTTACTTAACCGCGCTTCGTATACCATCACAAATCACAGATGGCTCGATCACAGAACTCGGTGTCTGGTCGAGCAGTGATTTAAGGAATTGCTCTTCTTGGCTGTAATTTGATGTCCAATTTCCTCATTTCACTAAACACACGAAACGCTTTGAAGATGTATACGTAGCCGAGAACCTATATCATTTACATTTTCCTCCCTCACTATCTATGCATTAGGCTCGGAAAGAAAGATATTGGCACATCGTGTATACTGAATGTGCATTTCACCCTTAATGAGTACCTTGAAAAACCAATATAGATTCATGTGTTAGACTATGTATGATCCACATATTCTGTGGCACTATTTGCGATATTATCCTAGTTGTTCTAGCGGAAATAGATCCAGCGTGGTCTGAGTAAACAAGCCGAATTACTACTCAGCAAGGATGTGTAAGAAGGCAATGAGAGCCAATGATACCATCCAGTTTCCCACGCCTCTCTAAGGGGAGGGGGGGGGCAGTGTTCAAATTCATGACACTATCTCAAAGTTTACCACGTAGACCAACTAGCCACACTACACACACGTACCAAAACAATACAATTTTCACTCCACTCTAATTGTGCGAGAACCATAGCCGTCATGTTTGTGCTCACTTCAAGGAACAGTCAGATGCTTTTTTTCCTTTTTCATAGCATGATTGGAATTAATGTAGTGTTTGTGTCAACCTTTGAAATATTCACAAATCAGCATAAAGTCGATAAGTGACTTCAGTTCACATGCATAAAATAAGCGTTTAGAGGTCGGTGGTTCCATAAAACAAGCTCGGTAAATTAGCTTCAAGAAAATGTATTCCTATCAATCATTTTGAAGATATAAAACAGTAATTACACAATGATAGCAGTTAGTTAAGAAGCGAGTGCACAACGGAAGTAATTGAATACAATTTTAGATTAAGTAGTAAAAAAGAGCTGAAAATATGGAAATTACTGTTAACGTTAACTTCGCAACAATCAAAGTATATCTGTTTCTTTGCTCAGGAAACTTCGGATCTCATCCAGCAGCTCTTGCTTCACAGCATCTGGTACCATTCTTCGACCAACTGGGGTGATTTCAGCTACCAAATCATCAACAGTTAGATTATCAAGTCCCCGGTCTTGAATGACACCTAAAATGTCAGGATTCACCAAATAAAAGCTTTTTAAATTATAAACAGATTAAAGGAGTGCAATAAACTACAATGAGAAGTAAAAATATCATAACTAAGACAGGCACAAAAAAGGATGATTAAATCCTGTGTGACAGTTCCGCTCTAGATTTTGAGTAACCTAGAGGTTTATGCACACTGATTCTCCCTTTACGAGATTCTTTTTCACTTGTCATAACTTTCCTACTTTTTTGTTGTGTTTCCTTAAAGTATGGCTATTTGAAATTTTGTACATACATAAGATCTTGCATTTTTCAGTCATTTCATCACAAATAATTGCTATTTTTACCTGACCGATAGCTGCTACCTTGACGTGGTGGTCGGGCTTGCATATCACAATGACCCAACGAGCTATGCTGGTGGAACGCTTGTTCCCTCGAGGTCCTACCATACCAGAAAGGTCTGTTGGGTAGTGGTTAGACGAAAAGCAGTTACCGTCATAGTGTAAATTGCTACACTATGATGGGGGTCTGAGGGCGAAGTCGTACTGCTGCTAGCTGGATGGGGTGTGACAGCAGTAAGGTGTTTCCCTTGGATGACCAGCAGTGCCAAGCTGATGCTGCCTTCTCAGTGGAAGGGGGGGTTAGAAAAGGTCGGCCCCAAAAATAACACACTCCACCACGCCCCACGGTCTGCCGGGCCGGCGGTGTTGGTTCACTTGTCGTTTCCTTTCGCTCATCCGGCCCCAAAAATACAAAAATTCAAAATAATCATACTCAAAAGGCTGGGTGTGACAGGCCTCAAGCAGATGTCCGATGGGCTCTGCGGTCACACAAATCTCTTTCAGGTACCTTAAGAAGAAATAGCCTTCCACGGTGTGGGCAGCCGGGAAGTGTCAACCGCCCTCACAACTCTGTCAGCACCCAAGTTTCTTCTGACTGCTATCCTCCTCCTCCATCATTACCTTCTAATCTTCCTTCACGTCTCTTAATTAATGATGCTGCATCATCTTCAATTTCTCCTACCTCTGCAGCCTTCGACAACGATCTGAGTCCACAGAACAGCGTCCCTGGTCTCCTTAAACCACGCTCCAAATTACATATTGGAGCCTTCAATGTCCGCACCCTCCGTCAAATTGGCCAACAGGCTTCGTTGGCAAAGACTCTAGCAACTCGAGGCATGGATGTGTGCTGTGTTTGTGAGACACGCATACAGGACCCAAGTGTGGTTATTCACCTGACCTCTCCTGACCAATCTGGTGAATCTGCAAAATTCACCCTTCGAGTTTCTGGAGATTCGATAGCTAGCTCTCGTGGTCTTGCAGGTGTAGGTATAGCATTAAGCACCAGGGCAGAAAACTCACTACTAGACTGGATCCCAGTTGATAGTCGCCTCTGCGCTATGAGGCTGAACGGCACAGTGAGAACTAAAAGGAATAGTGAGACTCGCCGTTGTCTCTTTGTAATCTCTGCTTACGCACCCACTGACTGTAGTTCGGATGAAGTGAAGGACGAGTTCTACCATAAACTGTCTAACCTCCTCTCGAAAGCCAAACGTTCGGACGTAGTGGTTGTTGCAGGTGACCTCAACGCACAGGTGGGTAGACTGAGTGAGGCAGAAAGGCACTTAGGTGGCACTTTCGGAATCCCAGCTGAACGTACAGATAACGGTGATCGCCTATTACAACTATGCTCAGATAACCGCCTATTTTTAGCCAGCACAAATTTCAGACATAAAGAAAGGCACTGTCTGACCTGGCGTCCACCGAGCTCGACTCAGCGATGGACACAGATAGACCACATTGCTATTAGTCATCGCTGGAGAGGATCGGTGGAAGACTGCCGCTCCTTCTGGAGTACGTGTTTGGACAGCGATCATGCGTTGGTCCGAGCACGTATATGCCTGCGTCTCAATGGACGTAGAAAAAATTTGGCAACAAAACCACTACGAGTTCTGCTGGACAACGAAAACACCAAAGCCGTGTTCAGTGAGAAGTTGGCTAGGCAGTTATCGGAACAAAAGACTGTCACTCATCCAGAAGAAGCTTGGTGCCATCTTCAGTCTACTGTAAAAGCAGCACTGGAGACTGTAGCCGACTCCAAGATAATGGCTAAAAAGAGCCAGTGGATATCAGCAGCTTCTTCCAAACTAATGGATGCACGTGAATGCATCCCTGCAGGCTCTGAGTACAATGAAGAGCGAGCGCAACTTAAAAATAAACTGACGAAAAGTCTGCGCAACGATCGTGAACAGTGGTGGGCAGCAAAGGCTAAAGAGATGGAAAAGGCAGCGGCGATCGGTAACAGTAGACAGTTATTTAGACTTATTAAGGAGACTGGGGGGAAATGGTCAACAACAGTTAGTGAGGTTATAGCGGAGAAGGACGGATCGGCGATTCACTCGCAGGGAAGGCGACTGGGACGATGGGCAGAACACTTTGAGGAACAGTTTAACTGGCCTCCAGCCACCATTGCGCTGCCCGCTATCCAGTCGGACCCTGAATGGGACATAGAGACAGGTCCCCCAACACTAGAAGAAGTTGAGAAAGCGGTAGGTAGCCTGAAACGGGGAAGGGCAGCAGGACCAGACGGACTACCTGCTGAGGTATACAAGAATGGTGGTAGAGTTCTCTTAGTCAGGCTAACGGAAGTGTTAGCCAGTATATGGGAATCAAATACGATCCCCTCCGACTGGTCTAAGTCACTGATCATCCCAGTCTTCAAGAAAGGCGAGAAGTCCTCTTGTGATAACCACAGAGGAATCAGCCTGACAAACATAGTGTCTAAGATCCTAAGTTCTATAATTCTCCGACGCCTGAGTGGAGCTCGGGAACAGCAAGCCCGAGAAAACCAGGCAGGCTTTAGACCTGGCCGTGGATGTATCGACCAAATATTCACACTGCGCCAGGTCCTGGAACATAGGCATGCTTACAGACGCCCGACAATAGCTGTATTTCTCGACCTGAAGGCGGCATTTGACTCCGTTGATCGAGAAGTCTTATGGCAGTGTCTGTCACTGAAAGGCGTGCCTAGTAAGTACATCACCTTATTGAAAGCTCTCTACTCGAACACTTGTGGGCATGTTAGAGCCTATGGTGAGTTGTCCAGGGAGCTATACTCATCAAGTGGTGTCCGTCAAGGATGCCCACTATCCCCATTCTTATTTAATTTTATCATAGATATTCTTATGGAGGTTTCCCTCTCGTCACCTAATTACAAAGACGTTGACCGGATCACAGGTGAATTTTCCTTAGATCTAGAATATGCAGATGACATAGTCCTGTTAGGTGAAGACGCTGACAAGATGCAGAGTCTTCTGAACACTTTGAGTGGGAATTTGAGAATGTTTGGGATGCGATTTTCACCACCCAAATGCAAATTTTTGCTCCAGGACTGGTCTTCAGCGGTACCGCGGTTAACAATAGAGAGTGAAGTGGTTGAGTGTGTTGACCACTTCACTTACCTGGGAAGTAGGATCAACCCGGTGGGTTAGTTGCCGATGAGATTTCTGCACGGATACAAAAGGCTCGATTGGCTTTTGCCAATTTGCGCCACCTATGGCGCCGCCGTGATATTCGTTTGTCTATTAAGGGTCGCGTGTACTGCACAGCAGTCCGCTCTGTTCTACTGTATGGCTGTGAAACATGGCCATTGAAAGTGGAAGACATGAGAAGGTTACAGGTATTTGACCACCGTTGCCTTCGTAGTATAGGACGTATTCCGTGGTGTCACCATGTGAGTAATGCAGAAGTTAGGTGTAGAGTTTTAGGGAGAAGAGGTAAGTCAGTCGACGAGGTTGTGAACCTTCATCGACTGAGATGGTTGGGACACGTACTACGTATGCCTAGTCACCGATTGCCTCGTCACACAATGTTGGCTGAGGTGGGTTCAGGCTGGAAAAAGGCCCGAGGTGGCCAGACTAAAACATGGCACCAATGTATGAAGTCTCTGACTGTTGGTTTAAGCCATGTAGGACGATGCAGACTAGGTGGTTGGGGTCCACGGGACAAGAGGAACCAGTGGTTGGAGACCCTAGGTGATATGGCTCAGAACCGAAGTCAGTGGCGCAGATGTATACACACATTATCCTCATCTTAACAACGCTATACCGAATCTCACTATTTTGTCACTCCTCTTTCCTTTCTTCTCGTACTTTATATTTCTTTTGACTGCATTCACTTATCTTCATCCTTCACCTCACTACCTTTTTACTTGATGTGCTGATATGAGGTGTGGCAACTCGGACCGTTACGCAGTAATGCCTGGTCCTATGTTGATAATGATGATGAATTGCTATTTACTCCTACGTAGCAAGTGAGACTATAAATTACATTGCCCTTGTGAACTGAAGAGAATATCAGACAGCAAAAACCTGAATTAAATAAAACTTAGAACTATGACCAAACTACTAGTTCAGACTTATGAACATCAGGATTCAAAAGCACTGAGTCAAAACAATAAAAGAACAGAACCATTCGTCCACACCAGCAACAGTAAATTACTCAAGGACACATAAAGATAAAACCAACGTAGAACTTCGAACACAAATGCATCGGCTCAAGTTGTCACAATTTACAGTAGGTACGGAAAGAATGATATCAAAGTAGACAAAAGTGCATGGGAGCGACGAAAATTTAAAAATCAACTGTGGTGAAAATATTTAAGCTTTAAAAGATATCAAGAAGTGAATACATCTGCCCCATGGTGATTGATATTCAGCTATGTCACGGTGAGGGCAGCTAGGAAATTTTCAACCGCTCGCTCACTTTCGGTAGTACACGATAGACAATCAAAACATAACCCATCCTCCCCAACTCTGTTTCTTCCATTGCCTTCATCTCTTGATGCTAATACTACGCCTTTTACAACTTCGCCAACCTCTAACCCTGCAATCATTGCCTACGATCAAAGCCATCGAAACTTCATTCCCAGTTCCTTAAAACCCTGTCATCGATTTCACACAGGAGCTTTCAACGTCCGAACTTTATGTCAAATCGGAGAGCAAGCATCACTCGTGAGAACTCTGGAATCTCTACGCGTGGGTGTATGCTGCGTTTCATATATACGTTTACAAGACCCAAGTGTGGTTATTAAATTGACCCCACTTGGCGATTGTAGAGAATTTTCGAAATTCACCTTTCGAGGATCCGGAGACCCAGTGGCTAGCTCTCCTGGACTCGCTAGTGTAAACATAACATTGAGTTGCAAAGCAGAAAGCGTACTTCTTGACTGGATACCAGTCAACAACCGTCTATGTGCTGTTCAACTGAATAGATTTGTAAGAACTAGGATCGTAATCTCCGTCTACGCACCCGCCCACTGCAGTTCCGCTGGTGCAAAGGATGAATTTTATCATGAGCTGTCAATTTCGCTACAGAAAGTGAAATGCTTAGATCCCGTCATCTCAATCGATGACGGTTCCCAACCTTATCAACTGACTTCCCCCTCCTCTCTAAAACTCAGCACCTGACTTCTGCATTATTTACGTGGTGACACCACAACACACGGCCTACGCTAGGATGGCAATGGTGGACGAAAACCTGGAGCTTCCTTACATCCTCCACCTTCATTGGCCATGTTTCACAGCCATACAGTAGAACATAGTGAACTGCAGCGCATTACACTCAACCCGTAATAGACCATCGATATCGCGGCGGCATTCTAATTGGTCGAAAGCCAGTCGAACCCTTTGTATCCGTACAGAGATTTCACCAGCCATTGACTGACCAGAACTGTTCCAACTTCCCAGGTACGAGAAGTGTTTAACAGACCCAACCACTTCACTCCCTACTGTTAACTGAGGCATCGCTGAACACCAGGCTTGAAGCAACAATTTGCATTTGGGTGGCTAGAAATGCATCCCAAACAATCTCAAATTTCGTATCTTGCCACCATTTTTACCTAATAGGACCATGTCACATGTGTACCACAAATCTACCAAAGAATTCTCCTGTAATAAGATCAATCCCTGTGAATTCATAGGACTAGAGGGAGACCTCCATAAGTACGTCTATGATAAAGTTGAACAATGGAGCGGACATCCTTGACAGAAACAACAATCCTGATAAACCACCATAGGCTTTAATAGGCTCATGGGTATTTGAGTAAAGAGCTCATTAACAGACTTATGTACCTAGTCAGCAACCCTTTCAGGCAAAGACACTGTCATAAGACCTCTCTATCGACGGACTCGAATGTCGCCTTCAGGTCGATAAATACAGATAATGTCGAGTGTTGGTAAGTGTGGTTGTGTTTCAAATCTTGGCAGCGAGTGGATATCTGGTCAATACACACAAGACCAAATCTGAAGCCTGCCGGCTTGGTTTTCTATGGTTTTCCGTTCCCGATCTCCACTCAGACATTGGATAATGATAGAACCTAGAATCTTAGATCCTATGTTGGTCAGGTCGGTTCTTCACCATCCTAAAATATCTCTGGAACTAGTACATCTGGTCTTGATGCTCCTCCTCGTTTCAGTTTACCTACAACTTTCTCGAATTCTGTAAATTTTGAGGGTTCTATCTCGATGTTCCATTTACGACCCGACTGGATAGCTACAGGTCAACTAAACTCTTTTTCGAAGTGTTCTGTCAATCGTTCCAGTCATCCTCCTGTGAGTGAATTACAAACCCATCCTTTTCCTTTATATTCTCGCTAATCACTAACCTTTTCGCCCCATTTTCGATAATTCTAAACGAATGTCTACTGTTACCCATCACCACTACCTTTTACATTTTTCTAGTCTTTGTTGCCGACTACCTTTCGTCGTCATTGCGTAGACTTCTCGTCAGTCTGCGTTTGAGTCGCTTCTGCTCCTCATTGTACTTGGAACCTGGAGTGACGAGTTCATATGCATTCATCCAATGGCTCTTTTCAACCAATTTGAGAGTCGGCTATGGCATTCAATCAACCAAAAGCAGATTGGAGATAGTGCCAAGCTTTTCCCGGATGACTACTGCTGCTCAGTTCTGATGTCTAGCCAGTTTCTTCCCGATAGCAGCCTTAGTGCTTTCATTGTCAAGCTGCACCCACAATGATCTTGTTGCTAAGGTTTTACTTTTCTACTTAGGCGTAAAAACATGTGCTCAGACCAGCGCATGGACGCTGTTCAAATACTTGCGCCGGAAGCAGCCATCGACCGTCTCTAGCGATGACTGGTGGCAATGTGGTCTGTGTACACCTCTGAATGCGATGGACGTGACGTCAGATAATGTCTTTCTTCATCTCTGAAGTTCGTGCTAGCCACAGAAAGATGATTGTCTGGGCAGTTTTAGCAGCTGATCATCTTTATCTGTTCGTTCACCTGGGATTCTAAAAGTCATACCTAAATATTTTTGTACCCGACCTAGACTACCCACCTGTGCATTGAAATCACCTGAGACAGCCACGTCTGAACGTTTGGGTTTCAGTAGGAGGCTACATAGTTTTCGGTAGAACTCGTCCTTCATTTCATCCGAACTGCAGCCAGTGGATGAGTGAGCAGAGTTTACAAAGAAATAACAGCAAGTTTCGCAACTCTTTCTAGCCCTCACTGGGCCGTTCGGTTGATCAGTGCACAAGCGACTGTCAACAGAGATCCAGTCGAGTAGTGGACTTTCTGCCCTAGTGCTCAGTGCAATACTTACACCCCCAAGGCCCCAAGAACTGGAACTCGAAGGGTGCATTTTGAGGACATACCATATTGGTCGCACTTAGGTCCTGTATGCGTGTCTCACAAACAGCACACACCTATGACTCAAGATGCTATTTTTCGCTAGCGAAGCTTGTTGGCCAATTTGTCAGAGAATGCAGACAATAAAGCTCCAAAGTGTAATCTGAAATGCGGTTTCAGAAAACCAGAAATGCTGTTCATTTAACTCAGATCGGTGTTAAGAGCTAGGTGAAATTAAAGATGATATGAGATTATTGACCGAGAAATGTGAAGAGAAATTAGAAGGTAAGGAGATGGAAGGTGAACAGTAATCCGAGGCAACCTGAATGCTGGCAGTTATGAGGCTGGTTGACACTTCCCAGCTGCTAACATCATGAAAAGTAATTTCTTCTTGGGGTGACTGAAAAGGAAGAGTTAGTGTGTGAGCAGAGTCTAAAGGAACTTCTGATTGAGATCGGTTGGTCACAGCCTTTGTGCAAGTTTCAGATTTTGGTTTGTTGCTTTTGAATACGACTACGAATCCAGGTCACCGTCACCAGCAGCCCACTGGATAGTAGGAAGCACGCTATTTTGGGGGTTGACCTTTCCTAACTCCGTTTCCTATCGGGAAGGCAGTATCAGCGTGGCACAGATGGTCATTCAAGGAAAATACATTGCTGCTATTAAAACCCGGCCAAGCCAGGGCTACTACTTGGCTGTCAAACTTCCATCACAGCGTTAACATTTACACTATAACGGTAGCTCCCTTTTGTCTAACCACTATCCAGACCTCTCTAGAATGGTAAGAACCCGAGCGTAGCTCGTCAGGTCATAGTGATATGAAGGCCCGACCACCATGCTAAGGTAGCGGCTATTGGTAGGGTACTTGAAATTAGCGGATTCACTACTTAAGCGACATTGATATTAAACTTAGTGGTGCTTAAGTGCATCAAATAAGTCATGAAAGATGTTTAAACGACACTTAACTGCTTGTCTCACCGTTTCGCTTTGTGAAGTAGAGTTACATTAGACAGTTCCCAGGGTGATCAGACCGCAACATATTACCAACCTATCCACCGAATATTATTACGTCATTCGAAAAACCACCTTTGAATTCTGTGGGGTTTTTTGGAACAAGTAAAATTACGTATTGGATAATATCTGACTCAACCAGTTCAATATCCAACGTCTTTCCATGAGCTTGTGCAAACCAAATGATTTCTTCGCGCTCGCTTGCAGGTTGACGGCACAAAAATGCAGCTAGTCTGCAACCTTATGAAATCAGTGAAAATAATACAGCTTATGTTTTCTGAGACTCTCCATAATCATTTTAGTTCTGAGATGTGAGTATTTATTTTCCTCTAAGAAGCCTGTCTACTGTAAAGTGGTGACTCATAAAGGTACATTATAATTTACTGGAAAACTCGGTTATCGATCGAAAACTAGGCAGTTAATTTTACAGCGAGCTGCACTCCATAAAACAGCTTTACTTAAAATGTATAAAACATGATAATGAAAGCGTCAGGTAACCAAAGGTTCACGCGCAAAACTACAAGGTGTAGACCACAATCCTGAAGAAAGTCACACACTGAGTTACTGTTCACAATCGTACTACACACTGATATGATGACGATCGATAATTTAGGCTAGAAACGTCATCAAGTAAACGGTACTGTATCTTCACAAGCATCTAACAAACAAATTTAATATAGGGTAACATTATACCACAGTGGCCAAGATTTACACTCATATCAGAATCAAATGTCTGCCAATTGGTCACCAATTCTATTAAATTACTTGTAATCGGTATTTACTGAAGGTTTATCGTGTCTTACTAGAAACAAGGTGCGGTTAGATAGGGAATACTTATCATAATTGAAAGCAGGGTACCCAGCAGTCATATTTAGTCAATTTCCTTAAAATACTAAAGGCGTAGCATTCTTAAAGTATGGCACACCCTTTGCAGGTCACGTTACAATATTATCACAGTTCCAAGTTAACAACTAATTATTATAAGCATAAAATCTTACCACGGCAATGGTTTTTCAGTTCTTCACTCCAGCCACATTCACTCAGACGAGTTCTCAAAAGATCTTTGAGTTTTTCTTTCTCCCCACTGCGATTGAGTCTTTCGTTTATATAAGCACGAAGTCGAGATTTCTCGTCACTAAAGAAGAAAAACATGAAACATAAAGAAATACCAACTCCAAGGCCATTGGGTTTGAATGTGACCTTGGCACTCACTTCAGGTGTTCAAACAGTTGCCAAAGAAATAAAAGCTTTTGTTTAATTGGCCTCCGCGTTTAGAATCGTTAAACCACTATTTTCTGTGTTTGGGAGCCTAAATACAGAGGCGTGGTTTAGAAAACAAAAATAAATTAAGACCAGATTAGCAGTGACAGTCTGCAAGTTCAAGCAGTGACCATGAGAGGGCTTCAGGTTTGTTTTTAAAGGACTGCAACAATTTAGCCTGAACAACTTCTAAAGAAAGTGCATTCCAAGCCATAGTAGCTCATAGGGAGTAGATGTAATGCCCTATTGCTGGTCTAATATGTTCAAAGTGTAACATTAGGGTGTTCCTTGTAAGATTCCTAGTAGAGCTTAAGTCAAGGAAATGGTATGGCAGGTGACCTCAAGGGTTCAAAATGCTATATGTCGTTAAATGGTTGACTCTCAGTCATCTACACATAGATGGACATGGATTTGGTGCTGTCACGCGTTCGTCGTACTGCTGAAACCTTTATCCAGTCCTCTGAAGGAAAAAGTGCAGTACCCTTGGATGCAAGTGAAAAATGGTCCTTATTTTCTTGAAGTGAAGCAGAAAAGGCGACTGTCTAAAGTGCCATCTGACAGCGTATGAAGCTACTGAGGGTTTGGTGAAGATACCTGAGATCACATTTTTCAAATACTGGCTGCAGAGTTACATGTTTTGGGTTTTCACGGAATGCATTCTATTAGCGCTTAAGAATTAGGGTCATAATGGACCACGACTTTGAGGTCTATCTCCAACCAGGATGCCGTAGGCTCTGTTCCATTTTGTTTGAATGTGTGAGATGGGTAGTGGCATGGATGAATGTTGTTTTTGCACGTTAGTTTATTGTAGTCTGATCAGTGCTTAAGTCGGTCCAAAATCAGCTCGCAAAGTTATTCTGCCGCTTTTCTCAAGTATCTCCCTTCAAAGCGTCACGCTATCAACAAGATGAATTTCAAGACACCTGAAAAGTCAAGTCCTTCAGGCAAATCAGAAATGGAAGAGGCCCTAAAACTAAACTCAGAGGACATGAAGTTTTTTGATGTGGTAGAATTCCCCAGAACCTTAAGGAGGGAATCGTTTAAATACAGTGATAGCCGGCTGAGTAACAGTGAACTGTCTCCTAACAACCTCAACTTTTCGATAAGTTATTGTGGTGTGGTTAACACGATCAAAAGCCCCATAAAAGTCTAGGTATTCGGCATCGATTATAACCCGAAGATCAATGAGACCTGTCACGCCGTCTGCTGTGATCGTTAGATTATTGGTGAGTGAATATCATTTTCTAAAACCTTGCTGGCAGTGTCCAGACTTTTAATGCGTATCGGACAGTTAGGCAGTCCATTGCAACCTATTGATCCTGTTACCTCTAAAGTTGTGCAAAAAGGCATTGGCTTGCAGCTCACCTGGTCACCTCGCTTTTCCTAAGCTCAACTTGGTGGTGCCTTTTAGCCCCTGAAGCTTGTAAGTGCGTCTACGTGTTACTTTGGCTGCTTGCGACACTTTGGAGCCGTAAGACAGCTTTTCTTACGGAATACGTGATCCTGTCATCCATGAGGGTCTAATGGCTATCTATACTGAACCAATCACGATTAGTTTCCCAGATGATTGGTCTCGGAGCCTCCTGAAGGGCCACAAGGTCAAGTTTACTGGAGTCGAGCAGAATTTAGTCACTGGGACGACCCAGATATGTTTTGCAGATATGCCGCAACTAGATATAAACATTGTCATTCTTGTTCAATGGAGAAGCACTGTAAGGTTACCCTACCAGAATCTGTTGTTTGTGATAGTGCGGTAAAGGATAGAGAGGACTTGATTATTTCCCTGTCGGTTTATTTACCTCATGTTTTTGGTGGGTCTCATCCTTCAACAAGATTAGAGAATCAACGTTTGGTGAAATTATCGTCTTTGCCGCGTTTCCGGTCTGCAGAACTTAATCTTGGATGACTAGAATCCTATAGAACCAAGATATGTTGCGGCCAAGTTTCAGAGAGTGGTCAATAGCTTGTAACACACGATTATAGTTATGCCGGGTGATAACTGGAGATGAAATGAAAATTTGGGTCACGGAAAAATTGCAACAGCAGCTCACCGAGCTACCGGTCCGGGGCCCTGTCAACTGAGCTAGTAGACCAGGTTGCTGACTGGGGTTTTATTTCACTTTAATCACCGGGGTTCTTCCTGACTCTTAAGCGAATTCATGGAGCGTTAATACCGTGCTATCTCAGTACATGAGTCAAAATATCCTATCACTGTCAGTAAGATTACCTGAGCACTGAAATTTGACCAAACGCGGGGTGACAGACACTGCTTGAATCGGTAATTTAGGAAAGACTAGGCAATTTCAATGCATGCGCTTACTCACACCCTCAAGGTAGGGCGGGACAAAACGACTGCACTCAAATCCAACTTAACTGGCTTCATGGGGGTTGATTTCCTTATCTTTGTTGATCAAACCAACACACAACGCACTTAATAGAAAGAGCGCAACAACTTTGCTTAATGTGTAAGAACGCGTACTACCAGTAAAAGAGGGATACGAGTTGATCGGACTATAAAAATCAAGTGTCGAAAGTTGTGATATGACCATGAGAAATGATGTATGCTAATGCTGCAATGCTGCCTACCGTACCAAATGAATACGTTCAATGTAACACTTTTTGTTGCCTCAAGGAGCTGCTGACAAACAAAGGTCACCGAACGGGTTGCCTAAGGATCGTACAACTTTTTAATGCCTTTACAGTGTAAGAGCACCCTCTGAATTTGAAGGGTTCCTGCGAGTCAGCCTCGCCGCACATTGTGGAAACTAACCGAAACCTGGTTAGAAAACTAAAAAGGCCGAAGAAGACCAGCGAAAAGGTGTTTTCAATAACTTAGTCGACAAAATTCCTATTGGCTTCATGGTGCTCGGGTTTTGATAGGCCTTCCACACGACTTGGCTTTCTTCTCAGAGGTGATGCGTGTGCGCATTTATTTAGCGAATGTATTCAAAATTGAAACCAGCGTATGTAGAGGCTGTACACCTTCTATGAGTAGCAGTCGTCTCTGATCTTTTCGTTTGCCTTCTAACACTTAACATCAGACAGGTCCATATTTTCAACATTTGGACTTTAATGTTTCCCGCTCCCTTACCTTCCGTGGTTTCCCGCTTCACCTTATCCTTGCAAATTTTTAGCGCTGGAATTCAGGAACAAAGTTACATTCACAACCGTCTGTTTATTGTGTGTCCAAACTTTTGCTCAACAACGTATTATTAACTGCATTTTCGTATGCTCTGAGAAATTAATCCATTATGCAGAAATTTACAAAATTCTGGGAAGGAATTTCGTCAGAACAGAGATTGTTTTTGAGTCAGTTCTAAATGAAAAATCTTAAATAGGGATGAGACATATATTAGCAACCGTGCTTACGTTTATTTTTTTGTACGTGTTACTTAGGTCAAAAACTGGTTCAGTCACACGCATCTTCCCAGACCTGTTCTGACAAACCACCGCGTCTTTCGACGAAAATGATACATTAGTTGGGGCAACCGTAACAAGTTATTTCATTCTCATCGCGGGCCACCTTTACTGTTGCATCATTGTAAGTAATAAGATCTGCCCTTAAATCATCTTATTTTTAGACCATGGGACAATCCATGAGTTGCGCAAGGAAATTATGTGTGTCGTAATCATTATGAAGCATGTCTGGAGTTGATGGTTGCGTGATCATCCGTGTAAGTGTGAATAACCACTTCCAACAAGAATGTATTTTAGGGTGGTCATTTCACCTGACCATCGATTACAAATGTGAAAGTGAACACGTAATATATATACACGGACAAGAAATATGTTACTGCAGTCCTCCGTAAACGGTGTGTCGCTATAGATTCACTTATCCTCAACTGTGAAGGTAGCTTACGCCAAAGCAGTCATCAATATTCTTTACCTATATATTTGGAGGAACGAGCTGTGAGCACACATACACACCCTTACGACAAGCCACGATGCTCTCAAGTCATTCTCGAAGTAGTGTGCAACTCTGAACCGCCACTGTATTCACCATCAACGGATCCAGAACAGTTCGTATCGCGGTCAACACCTGCAGTATCAATTTCATTTTTCTGAACGATTCAATGATTCCACACAGACTGGCAATTTCGCATACATGAATTAGCTTTATTGCAGGCCGTATGAATCGTTATCCCTATTTCGATGTCATTTTTATAGGTTTGATATGACATTTAGCTGTGGCGAACCGAGAACAATTTCTTTAAAGTAGGAAAGTACCACACCCACACATGTTCCGTCATAAGTTGTTCAGTACCAACAGGCCGCTTGAAAAGGAAGAAAATATTCATAACGTATGGCAGATTTGGTGAAGATCAGCACGAATTCAGTCCCAACATAGGTCTGATTTCCTCTCACTACACTGAAAAGAGGAAACAAAAAAAACACGCAGAAGAGACTAAATTTGCGGGAAGCGCCTTCAGTCAAGTTGATGCCTACTTGCCTGAAATTCTGTTGTCTACTACCATTTCATAGCATGAAACTTAAGTTACTCCTCTACTGAACAAATCAATGCTTTTCAAATCTTATTTCGCCACATATTTGGTAGCAGTATATGCAAACTAGCGTTTGTTGTTTGTAGCAGCAAGCCACATGAAGGTTTATTCGGGAGTTAAAAGTGACTCGGAAGTGTTTCACTGAGGCTCTTGGCTCTCCAAGAGATCTTCTGAAAAAAATATAGGGGTTTCGGATTTCCTCTTTGAAAAACGAACACTTCAGGACAGATGTGTGCCGGAAATTTCGCACCAAGTAATTTTTCACTTTCTGGTTCAAGTACTGAGGTTTAAGGCAGTATTTTATCCTTTTAGAAAACCTGGGAATCCTCATAATGAAAGAAAAACAATTGATCAAAGATTTGAAATGGCACTACTTATTATATTGCAGCCTTGATTGGGCTTCGCCAGGGGAATTCTGTTTTGTTTCACAAAATGTTTGATGTGCTCAAGTTGGCTA